TACACAAAAATAAACGTAGTTTCGCAAAAATAAGTGATATTCATTCTATAAATACTAGGAACAGACACAAGCTAGTAGTACCAGTTACTTGAATCCACCGAGTCAGTAATTCATTCTTGGGGCGATGTATACACTTTTACAATAAAATCCCAGAAAATATACAAAATTTGTCATACGCAAAGTTCAAAAATTTTATTAAACTAAGTTTGTATACAAAGGGTTATTATAATATTAAGGAATTTATGGATGAAAATAACCCCTGGGAAGGGTGATCGCTACCAAGCTATTTCTAATTTGTCTTGTGTTCTTAATTGTAAACATGATTGTAAGCTATTATTTGAAAAAAAAAAATAGCGCCGCTGGGTTTCTTGCTGGTTCTTTCCAGGACAGAGGTTTTTTTTGCGAACCAGTGGTAAATGAAAAAATTGACTTTCAATAAGTATTGTTTATAATCTACATTGAATAAAAAGTTTTGTTTCTGTTTCTGTTTCAAAAAATAGAAAAAAATACTGCAATTGCCAACCCGCTTGCTAAGCTTGGCAACTACGGCAAATATCCCAATATAAGGCAATCTGTGTGGAGGCCTATGTTCAGCAATGGACTTTTAATAGGATGTAATGATAATGGATTTTTTACTGGAAACGAGACATTCCATCTTAGTACTCACGGGTGAAAACGCATCTGCATTTTGATTCGTAATCGAAGATAGATGTAGATGTCTGTCGGCCACAGCAACCACTTACCATAAGGTGGACTGTGTGCCCGTTTGCCACCCTTTCCTATAAAAACAATGGTTATGCTACTTCATATTATCATTCTTTTAAACTTGAATTTGCTATTTTTGAATAGAATGCTTATAAGAGTCTACTGATGAACGTAAGCCATGAATGCAAACTGCTTAATCATCACGCTTAGTAGGTGAACTGAGTTCCAGACGTTGCGCTGTTGTTGGTTTCTATCGGATCGGTGTCGGGAAGCATAACATTTTTCTGGAATTTCACATAGTGCCCCTTACTATATCCACGGGACGAATAGAGGCAATGGATTCTTTTACGTCCAACTAAACATTGGTAAAATATACATATTGATTTATTATGTAGCCCTTCAAACAAAAATATAGGGATGACACTTAGTACGATTACCGCTGCTACAGATCCAACCTCAATCCAAAAAGTAAAGGAAGTAAGGGACAAAGGCCATAACAACCTGTAAAATTTCTTTCACAAGAATGTCCAATAAAAAGTAGAATCTGTCGAAGCTTCCATCATAAGAAACATACTTTAACTTAAATTAAATAACGGGGTTTTTAAAGCCCCGAAACAAAAATCGCTAGTAATCTTCAAACGGCTTAAAATATTTTCTTGAATCATAGCTAAGAATACTTTCCATCAAGTCATCTTTCAACCAAGAACTAACTAAATCTAAATCGGTTTATCCGTTTGAGTTTGAGAGCTGCGATGGCACAGACAGACCCACAGATACACACGTTAAACATATAACACCCCTCTTTTTCGTTGAGATTTAAAAATATATTCTAGCATGTATTTTAAAGCAAACAATTTATCTAAGTCAATTAAATACGTAGGAAATACATGATATTTAGAAAGCAATAATGAAAAACTTGCGAATATGAAACTCATACGGGAAGTCAATACGTGTCTAATATTACAGTCTCGTTTGAATGAATGAAAAGAAAGATAAGGTACTAGAATGTTCAGGTAGCGTTTTCAAATAGGGAGCAAAAGCTGAATAGAGCACGTGTGCTTCGTAAAGGGCAGCAGACCGAGGTCGGTGCAACGCGGAAATAGCGAGCTTCTGTCGACAGCGGTACAGAATCGTATGAGCTTGAATATAAATTCAGACAAATGTGTGAATATGTTACCACGATATATTTTATCTAGGCAGAAAGAGCTTGGGATAAAATTACAGAATGGCAACATATTCATGTAAAATCGATGGCACGCGAATTATACTGGGGCAACTGTTCTGAAATAGAACGCGTATTTAAAATCTAGGAATTGTATTCATGAATGTGACATATTTAAAAAAATGTCTTGCATGTATGTATATAAAACAAGCATGATTTTTTAGCAATTCCCTGAATACTTCCCAAGTAATAATTTTTTAAGAGATCTCTAGGAAAATCTAATAACAAAATATACTTTCCAAAATGTGAATTGATGCTCTTCAAAAAAAAATCATTTGTCTTTAAATCTTTACCCGATGAGTTTAAAAATTTCCCAAAGGCAAAGTTAAAAAACAAACTACTCGTACATGAATGGCTTTTACTTAATTGTTTCTATACTGTTAATGAGTATCTTGATCACAAAATACACATATTTAAATATGTGTATCTAAAAATGTTTGAATTGTTTGCTGTGAGTTTATAAAGGACTTCGATACTTATAGAATAATTATTGGTTAGTTATTTTTACTGTTTTTACATATGAACATTTATATTTTGACATTTGTAAACGATTGAGTGACACTGTTTTTAGTATAATTAATCTTTTGACATTTATTTTATTATCAATTGGACATTTTTAATTTTAATAAGTTATATTCATCAATAATTGAAAAAAAAATTGTTATATCTATTTAGTCAAAATTTGCACGCCTTGATAAGACAGAATGTATAGGAACTTTTATGTTTTAATAATACTCTTGTAATATCTACCTACATTCTATGCGAATAAATAATTATGAATTATGAATTATGAATTATTATGAATTACGAGTTATAATTACCAATATAATAACAATGGAGTATTCATAGTAAATTATGTATAGTATATAGTACTATATGGAGGTATAGTAGGATTTAAAAGATATGTGTGACAGCTAAACATATACTTGTACAGTTAACAAAAATACAATGCGTACGCTTTTACAAAAAGTCCCAGAAAATATTTATAGGGTATATCTATCAAAAAGTTGCTATACAAAATAGGCAAATTATAATATTAAAGAATACATGATTTATGGAAATGACGTGATCGTTTTCATATCGTTTTAATCTATAAATTTTATATTCAACTGTGCAACACTGTAAATTATAGTAAATCATTATTAATAAAAAGTCCCGCTAGGTTTCTGGTTCTTCTAAGGGCAGCGGACATTTTCCGAACCATCCAAACTTTTAATCACTATTACTTGTAATCAATATTGAAAGAAAATTGCTCTTATGTACTGTATTCTACTCTATTCAATACGAAAATGTTATTTATTGGACATTCTTTTTTAATTCTCAGTGGTGAAATTATACCAGTAGACTGTATTCTTCATAATTTACTGTAGGTATCTATGATTTGCATCAACCACTTACCATCCGATGGGCATAATACTAAACATAACGTGGAAATAATATTTAACTCTACTTGACAATCTATTATAAAATTACATTAAAACAACAAAGTTCTGCAGTGTACTCGTATTGCCCATACTAACTTATACATTTTATTTTCTTACGGACGTAAGATACAAACTTTTCAAAATAAATTCAACGTATTATTGTTTTCAGCCCCTGTGCAGAAGTTTTCAGAAAATTATCAGTTGAATAAGTAATCTATTTTATAACTGAAATTCTCGAACACTTTTTGAATATTCGTATTCTTTGAATATTTCTTTTATTTAGACAACCTTACATATATTTGCAACGAAAGTTGAAACTAAAATTATCATGTATGTATATTGTATACTTATTAGTAAACTTACTCTATGTGACACGTCATTCGATACTCTGTGCAGAAATTTTCTCAAAAAAAATATTTTTGATTAGAGACACTGACTAGTTATAATTTATTTCGAAAAAATAACTTTCACAAATAAAAAATATGCATTTCCACTTTCATTTCAGAGCTAAATTGGGGTTATTATCAATTTTCACATCTAAGTTTACCACCTTTAATCTAAATAAATAATTGACCTTTAAAAATTTTTTGTGTTCACGCTTCACAGTTTTCACTTTTCATAATTTTTTTAAGCTATGAAAATTAAATTCCCAAATAAAATAAATTAGATGTTAATAAAGACATTTTTTAGCAGACGAGGAAAGAAGTGGTCGCCCTTTGACGGTTTTTACCGAAGGAAACTTCATCACTTATTGCTGCAGATTGGATTGGGAAGCGCCCACGAGACTTTACATTAACGCTTTGGAGTAAGTAGGATGGCATCGCGTTGGATGCCGCACAGCTTCACTTTAAGGTAATAAACAGGCCTGCGTGGATAACTAATTTAAAGTAGGTTCTTCTTGGTGTTTTTACAAAATTATTATGGATGATGAATCTTGGAATCATCAATACGATCTAGGAATCTCTTTTCTGAACTCAACGATAATTTTATTGTTCTATAAATAACTTAACGCTCAATGAGGGACTAAAATTTTCAAAATCATAACAATGGAAGGAAAGATACATAAAGTGATTTAGAGTTTACGACTTTAGTTCTAAAAATAATTTAAAACATCTTAATCCCTAAATTGAGCATCAAGTTATTATACAAATGTGAAGAACAATAAGAAAATAAGAAAATAACAACCGACCAATCAGAAACAGTCAAATTGAACATATTAACTAGCAACAAAGTACACTTGGTTGGTTTTCATTGGTTTGTTCAACAAACCAATGAAAACCAACCAAGTGTACTCGAGAACCAATTAACAATTTTTCCCACTCCCACACCCCTTCCCAATTTGGTCCCAGATAAATTAAGAACGCAGAGATTAAGAAGTCAGTTCCTTCCGGAATTTGGAGTGTTAATTAACAATCCAAAACGGAAGCTTCAAGGGAATTCATTCCACACAAAAATCTGCCGATAAAATGCATGGTTTTATTTTTTAATCAACATCGCGATACTGTTAAATTGTGTAGTTTTCAATACTGTTTGTTGGGTATGAGAAACGGGGATGAGGAGAAAATGGTCCAGAACAAAAGTCCGAAGAACTTCACAATCATCCTCGTTTGTTAAACAAATCAGAAGTGTTGTGTGAAGTTCTCGTTCGGATGGCTGCAAAGGATGGATTATCATTCAACGTTCTTGCATCTTCCCAAGAAATCAAGAAAGGACTTGCTGCGAGAAAATTCGAGAAGATCCCTTCTTCTCCGAATACCGTCAGATCAATGGTTTTCCAATATGAACGGAAGTTTCGTGAGGAATTGATCGCAAAGCTCAACAAAAGAAAAGCTGAACGTGAACGCTTTAGTGTCACATTGGATGAGTGGACTTTGAACCGCAACAGAAGATATATGAATGTCAATATACATGCTGGATCGGAGGTGTATAACTTGGGCCTGATACAAGCTACCGGAAGCGTTACTGCTAACGCTTCCGGTACTTGGCTCAGTTCAAGATAGACCTTGATGCAGACATCGTTGATGTTAGAAATGATGGGGCTAGTGTGATGAAAAAGCTGGGAAAATTGATTAGCGCTGAACATCAACTTTCTTTCGCACACGCAATCCACTTGGCGGTTCTTGATGTAATGTACAAGAAGAAATCCAAACAACCCGAAGAAAGGAACGTCAGTGAGGACAACAATGAGGACAACAATGAGGACAACAGCGAGGACAACAGTGCGGACAGCAGCGAGAACGAGAGCGATTACGAGAGTGAGGACGAGAACGAAGACGGTGGTGTAGTGATCGACGAGGAAGAAGACGAGGAAACCAATTTAAGTTGCAGTGAACTCGCGAAAACAATAAAAAAGTACGAACAGTATTTCGCCTTTTTAAAATGTCTGCAAAGAAGAACGAAGTTCATCTTCAAAAGTACGTAAACGCTAAGTTTCCGGGGAAAGATCTTGTTCTTCTTCCTGACGTCAAAACCAGATGGAACAGTTTAGTGACGATGCTGGAAAGGTTTTTGAAGTTGAGACATTGTGTACAGAAAGCCCTCATCGACTTGAAATCGGAGATATTTTTAACCGAGAGAGAGAGTTTAAATTACTGACGGCAACCATGGAAGCACTTGCACCGATAAAAGTAGCTGTGGAAAGCCTGTGTCGAAGAGACGCAAATCTGCTTTTAGCAGATACAGTGCTGGACTTCATATTACCGACTTACAAGAACAGCAGACGGAGATCAGTGAGAAGTTGAGAGAGGCGATCATCGTACGGATCCTGGAACGACGCACTGATATATCTCAAGTGCTGCAGTTTTTGCACGACGGAGAGCAAGAAAACAATGAGCTGTGTAGAAAACTCACCAAACCAGCCATTGCGAGAATCATCACGAGGTTGATCAAAAGGCTGTATCCAAATTCAGAAGCAATTTTCGAACAGGAAACCGGTGGTTCAAGTGTTGAAAGTGCTTCCGAAGATTCAACCTGCATGGTAAGACATAAAAACTAAGCTCTTGAATTCCAAATTATGGTGAAATAATATAAATAATAATTTCAAAAAATTGTTTCATTTCAGGAGTTAGACGAACTGTCGTTAAAAGAGAAGCTGAGTCGTGCGATCCAGAACAAACTCAACCGACCCAACATGACGACAAAAGTTACCAGCCTGGAACAAACTATCCTGCAAGAAGTGTCTTTCTTCAATGACCACAAGGTTCGAGGACCAAACTTTGAAAAAGTGTATTGTTTACTGAAAACAATACCGCCAACCAGTGTGGAATCTGAGAGAGCTTTTTCGACAGCAAACAATTTTTGCACTAAGCTGCGAAGTCGTCTTGGTGACGACAGCATCGACAAATTGTGTTTTTTGCGTGCTCACTTTTTGCGTACAGACAAAAACAAGTTGGTGTACATATTTGTAATATAACTGTTGTGTTTTGAAATAAAAGTACTAAGAATGAATGAATACTAATGAATGTGTTTAATCGTGTTTTTTATTTTAATTTATCTCATTATATTACTACAATGATTTTGTTCGTTTTGGTTTTCTTCGTTTTGTTACAATTTATAATTTTTTGTTTTTATTTTCTCCTTTTTTATTTATTCATTTATTTTTTTATTTATTGTTATTTTGTTTAATTAATTTACTTATTATTTGTTATTTTAAACAATTTCCAATTTTTTATTATCCCGGGATCAATACCCGGATTCCGGAATCGCTCCGACACGATCCCGAAATCCCGGTATTCAAAAAACCTTCCGGGATTGCAATCTCTGGTTTAGTTGTTTTAAAAAGAATCAGCGCATATCAAAGTGAAGCGATCTGGGGGGCACAAGAACGATCGCAATTTTTTTTATTTTGACAGGGTACCCAGTGTCAATTCCTTTGCGAGATCGAAGTTATTACTGACATTTTAAATGCCGAATGCGATACTACCAAGTGCTTAGCTAAAATAAAAAAATCAGCTGAAAGGTATAAAGTTTTTACCGCAGGAAGATGCGATAGCCGCATTAGAGCAAGCCGTAAAATACGTGTCCTGTGTGGACTGGGAAAAGTGTTTTAAAAATTGGTTCGGAGTTTAGAAAGTTTATACGTGTACGTGTACGTAGTACGTGTAGTGGTAGAATGGGTCAATAAAAAATATTTTGTTCGCTGAATGGCTTTTCTAAATCGCTTTTATTAGCTTGACCTATTTGTAAAAATGTAAGTAAGCAGGTATGCATAATTAGACATGTGTCATTCATTCTTTTCTAGTGACCCGATGACTGACGGATAACCGGCCGGTCATAAATGAGATGACATTGTAAATATGCATGTCTACAACATGTATGTATGTATGTATGTATAAATGTAATCGTATGTAACATGGAGTTTTATAATTCATTTTTCACCAACCTCCAGGCATCTGAATAACCTAAATTATTGAAGATTTCAGATAGATGACAGTAGGTACAGTAACTTCTTGTTTATATAATATTTCATAATCTGATATTCTCACAAGGATCAATACAGCACATACTCAATATGAAGTGTTTAAGTTCTTTCAATCTCTATTACTATATACTATTATTAATTTATTTTATTTTAATTGAATTAATGTAAAAAATTAAATGAAAGAACATATAATAATTTTCGCTTTCGCTTCACTTTGATATGCGCTGAGCATATCAAAGTGAAGCGATCTGGGGGGCACAAGAACGATCGCAATTTTTTTTTATTTTGACAGGGTACCCAGTGTCAATTCCTTTGCGAGATCGAAGTTATTACTGACATTTTAAATGCCGAATGCGATACTACCAAGTGCTTAGCTAAAATAAAAAAATCAACTGAAAGGTATAAAGTTTTTACCGCAGGAAGATGCGATAGCCGCATTAGAGCAAGCCGTAAAATACGTGTCCTGTGTGGACTGGGAAAAGTGTTTTAAAAATTGGTTCGGAGTTTAGAAAGTTTATACGTGTACGTGTACGTAGTACGTGTAGTGGTAGAATGGGTCAATAAAAAATATTTTGTTCGCTGAATGGCTTTTCTAAATCGCTTTTATTAGCTTGACCTATTTGTAAAAATGTAAGTAAGCAGGTATGCATAATTAGACATGTGTCATTCATTCTTTTCTAGTGACCCGATGACTGACGGATAACCGGCCGGTCATAAATGAGATGACATTGTAAATATGCATGTCTACAACATGTATGTACGTATGTATGTATAAATGTAATCGTATTTAACATGGAGTTTTATAATTCATTTTTCACCAACTTCCAGGCATCTGAATAACCTAAATTATTGAAGATTTCAGATAGAAGACAGTAGGTACAGTAACTTCTTGTTTATATAATATTTCATAATCTGATATTCTCACAAGGATCAATACAGCACATACTCAATATGAAATGTTTAAGTTCTTTCAATCTCTATTACTGTATACTATTATTAATTTATTTTATTTTAATTGAATTAATGTAAAAATTAAATGAAAGAACATATAATAATTTTCGCATTTAATATTACGACTGACATTTTTATTTAAACAGAGGTAAGCTGGCGAAAACATTTTAACTATGGCAAATACGTTCTTTATATTGTTTGGAATCCCGGTCAGTGTTTAATTACTCGGGAACCCGAGTGGTTGGATTCTTAATTTAGGTTGGATTGTTTGGTCAAATGACATAAGACACTTTGTTTTGGAGTGATCCCATCTTGTCATATACACGCTATTGTGACAATCTCGCTGTAGTTATGAATTGATTTGATTTGTTAGTTATATCTTTTATATTACCACAGCTATACTGCTCGCTATTAATAGCTACGTTGGCGACCATGGTAACGGCGTGGCAGTGGGGTGCTAAGAACCATCCGTGGAGGTTCGGTTGCCACCTAAGATAACTCGACCTGGCAATCTACAACGCACGCGCCCTGAGGTCTGACTAGATGATCTTGGAGTTGGAAGAAGAGATAGACAAGCTTCACTGGAATATTTAAATATTATCGGAGGTTCGAAGAGAGGGGAGGACACGGTAATCCGAATCCGACAACTTGTTCTATCACCGGGAGGGTAACTATCTGTTAATGGGAGACTTCAACACAAAACTAGGCACAATATAGAACTGTGAGCTGAAGGTAGGGAATTTCTGAATTAGGCAACGAAACCTAAAAGGCCAGCAGTTGGCCGACTTCGTGGAGAAATAGGGACTCTTTATTATGGACTCTTTCTTACAGAAGCGTCCCCATAGAAAGTGAACCGGGTCGACAAAAAATCAGGTTGACTTCATTATGACGACTAGACGCCAACTGTTCAGTGATGTCTCAGTGATCGCGAGGGTGAAAACCAGTAGCGATCACCCATGGTGAAAGGCACACTGAACCTAAACGTTAAGTTGGAAAGATCACATCTAATGGAGTCAAAACTCCGTCCCATCGTGTTCTAATCCAAAAACCCGAAAACCCGAAAACTTTCAGCTCGAGTTACCAAATTGTCTTCAGTACCTACAAGTATGTAATGCAGTGGTTGATAAGAATAATAAGCTCGTGGAAACTGTCTATGCAGTCGAAGATAATTTATGCAAGACCCGCCACAGAATAACCAAAAAACTCTCTGATAACACTCTTAATCATCCGGCTGTTACAAGGTAAATGAAGCTACAGTTTTAACAGATTTGACAGCATACAGGCAACTGAACAGACAAATCTCCAAATGCATGCGGCGTGACTTACGTAACTTTAATACTGCTTGTATTGAAGAAGCGATCGAGCGGAATCAGGTCTCCAAGGTATTTGCCAGATATCTATCTGCCAGAAAAAGCCAACTGTCAAAGCTGAAGAACGAGTGTGGCAGCTTCATTTCCGGGACACGAGATATTTTGAGTAAGATTGAGAAGTTCTATAGGCAGCTGTACCCATCATCGTTGGGGCCACACGCAAGTGTGAGTAACGATCTAAGAGCAAGTCTTGTCCGACACTATTCTGATGATATCCCGGACGTCAGTCTGAGTGAGATTGGAGTGGCCATTAGTCTTTCAGAAGCTCTTTAATTCCGTCCTCCATAATGGAACTACCGGAAGCGTAGAGCAGAAGTGCGGTAGTCTTTTTCATCAAGAAAGGCGACAACGCTATCTTCAAGAACTACAGCCTATTACTACTACCGCGTCTACGTGCTGTTTTCGAGAGTCATTACGAATATTCTCGCATGCAGACACGACGACTTCTAGCTTCCCGAACTAGCCGGTTTCCTATGTTTTGCGTATGTAGACTATGAAAAAGTCTTTGATTCTGTCGAAATTTGTGCGATGCTGCAGTTCTTTCAGCGGTGCCAAGTTGACTTACTGTATATCGAAGAGCTGAAGCGTTTGTACATTAGGGCTACGATGGCTATCCGAGTACAGAACCAGAGTACGAAACCTATCAAAGTGTAGATATGTGAAAGACAGGGTGACGTAATATCCCCGAAACTCTTTACGCTGCATTGGAAGACGTTTTCATGCTACTAGACTGGAAAGGATACGGTATTAACGGCAATGGCGAGTAAATCACTTACATTCAATTTATCGACGATATTTTATATATATTACATCATATCGCCGGAGAATATAAGCAATATGCTCAATGACCTCAATAGAGTCTCCCGACGGATAGATCTTAAGATGTGTGGCCGTGGAAGGAAAAGGGGAGATCTCCCGCCGGGCAAGGTGTTCTGCCCGGGGAGCGGCCAACACTCCGTGTGATAGTTCGGAGATGTTCTATATATGCTGTTTATGATTCGGAATTTTGATAGCGTGATTTAGGCTTCGGTGTATTTCGCTTGTGGCATATAATATGTACAAAACAAAATATAATATGTACAAAACAAATATGTACAATAATAATATATATATAATACATTAATATATATATATATATATATATATATATATATATATATATATATATATATATATATATATATATATAAATATGTATAATAATAATATAATATGTACAAAACAAAAGTTATGTGTAATGTCCATGTTACACCTATGTCGGTAGTGGTTGGGATAGCTCGAAGTTGTTGACGAGTACCTATGTTTACCTGAGATAAATAGTCCGACTAGGTAAGTCCAGCTTCGCCCAAAAGTGACCTTTCGGCAACAGATTCAACTCGGCTTGGCATCATTCGGGAGATTATGATACATCCTCTCGCCAGGCATATCTCAAAACTAGATTGTACAACCAGTGCGTATTACCAATGATGACCTGTGGATCTGAAAGTGGCCCCTCACTGTTGGCCGTATGAGGAAGCTCAAAGTCACTCAGCGAGCCATGGAGAGAGTTATGCTCCGGTTTTTTTGCGTGATAAACTTAAAAATGAGGATATCCCTAGTAGAACCAAAGTGACCAACATAGCCTAACGGATTAGTAAGCTGAAGTGGCAATGGGCCGACCCTATAGCTCGA